TTTTTTTTTTTTTTTTCTTTTTAGATACAAAAGAAAACTCACATTGAAATTATCAGACCTATATATTTTGTATCATTGAGCCATGCATCCTAAAATACATCCACATTTTGCTGTAGATTATTAATATATATTCATTTGCAAAACAAATGGTTTTTGAAAACAACAGTTACTCCCAACTATTTGTAACTTACACCAATTACCTGTAACTTCTCTTCTTTCATTCAAATTATATTCAACTATATATCATACGCTCTATCTTTTGTATATATATATATAAACAAGGAGTCTAGTCAATGGAAGTTTGATTCTCAAACTAATCTTATTTGTGAAGTTAATTTGGTATCAAAGCAAATGGTGCAATAAGGATCTGAAATCACTAGCCAGAGAACTTCAACCTCCTCACTATTCTATGTGACAATGTTTTTCATTACTTCCCAATTAAATTGACTGGTCCAAACTATATGATTTGGAGAGCCCAGTTTTTACCCATTTTCCAAGCACATGGTCTCATGGGTTTCCTTGAAGGGACCAAGAAGATCCCACCTTCCCACCAATATACGTTTACTTCTGATAACACTCCAGAAGATAAAGATGATCTCATCGATCACATCTACAGAAGTTACGTGATTAAGAGAGAAAGAAAGAACAAACTTACGTATAGTTGCTGAGAAATAACTAACTAGTGTAATAAGGAATTGAAATATATATACCTGCAGAAGCTGCGGCAACAACATCCTCGTTGGAGTCCCTGGTGTGAAGAACCAGTCTCGTTCTATAATCTGTATGAGCAGCATAGAAGTCAGAAAGCGCCATTCTGATGCAGGTCTCGGCCATCTCCCCGACTGTTGAATTCAAATCAAGAATCACGCCGATGGGAATCGAAGCTTTGGATTCAGAATCTCCATATCGAGCAGTCACCAATGTCGACAAGCAGCAGATGCAGAAGAGCAAGGAGAGAAGCTGTGCCTGTGCCTGTGCCGGTGGGTTCAACATTTTTGATCAAGGTCTGTTCTGATGAAGATTTCTCAAGGCTCAGATAAACTACTTTGCCATTTCATGGCTTATAAATAGAGAGGAAATAG